CGCCTGCCCGGGACCATCTGGAGCTACACGCAGGTGCGGCGCACGGGCGGTGGCGGCGTGGAGACCGTACAGGGCCCCGGCGTGTCGTGGGTGCACCCCGACGGCGTGGGCGTGCAGATCGACACCATCACGCCCGAGATCCGCGCGCTCTACAACGTGCTGGCCAAGGTGAAGCGCGAGCGCGACGAGTACAAGCGGAGGTGAGTGGGGCCCGCCCCTCCCCCTGCTCCCTGGGAGGGGGCATCTAGGGAATGTGTGTGCGGGAGGGGTCTGGGCGGGCAGCTGGCCCTGGCAGGTGGACTGAAGCTGTGTTTGCAGAGCCTCACACATTCTAGGGCGACTGAAGTTATCTAGAACCCAGAAGGGAGGTAGACGCTGACTGCCCTGGGAGACACCTTGGCCTCTGCCTTCTCTGGTGCGGGCGCATTGTTTTCTAGGTGTCATAAGAACCCTCTGTGTCTCCATGTCTCGCGATCTCGTCTAATTCTCACGACAGTGCAGAGTGTCAGGCAGTCTTATCCCCATGGTGCAGATGAGGATACTGAGGTGTAGAGATGAAAAGTGACTTGTCTGAAGTGGCTTGACTATAGCGGGGAGGCCAGAATTGTAATCGCTGATTTTAACTACTCCTCCCAGTGCCCTCCTAGCCTAGGTGTTTGCCCAGGGATGTAGGGGTAGGCGCCTTCCTTCAATGGGTGAAAAGAAAAAACTCTTAACCAATCCACTACCGTTTTGTTCCCTGAGTCAGTGAGATTATGTGTTTGAAGAGATGGCTCTGTCCCTAGCCTGGAGGCCAGGGCTTGCTGTCTTGTTCCAGCTCTGTGTGGTCTAGCTCTTCTCTGGACCTGGAAGTCTCCTGGTTTATAAAACCCAAACAGATTCAGTCCTTAAGGTCCCTCACTGAAGGGATAGTCTTGGGCTGGGGGACTGAACATAAAGAGACTATGACCACCATCCCCAGTGTGTTCCTGCCCAGACCAGATTCCCCATCTGGGAAGCAGACATTGCTTCCTGCCTGCAGTCTGCTCAGATTTCCCATAAGAGGAGAGGGTCTGTTTGTGGTATCTCAGGCCTCAGTGGGGGAGGGGTCCTGTGGTCCTGGGAGCTGCAGTCCTCCATGGGCCACTCTGCATTTGGAGCTGTGGCTCTGAACTCCAGGGTTTGGAGGACATGATAAGAACCTTTCCTTCCATCCCTAAAGGACCAGCCAGGGAGCTGGGCTTGGGCCTCTTTTCTTCTTTTTCCCATTAGGTGGGCTGGCAACTGGGAAGGATTAAAACGCCAGCCTCGTCACTTGCTGGTGAGATTGTTGAACCACGCAGAAGCCTGTTTGCTCATCAGAGAAATGGGAGTAATAAAATCTACCCACAGTTTGTCAAGGAGAGAGTAGGATGGTGACTTTTTAATAAGGTAGAAAGTAGTCACAATGATGTTATTAACAACGGTAGGCACTTTGTCAAGTTAGCAGGGGCCAGGAATGACTGCAGCCCCTGATCAGGCGTT